GGTAATCCTTTCTGGGCCCAAATTAGGCTGTGCCGATTATCAATACGATGATGATGAGGAGGAGAACGACTTGGCAGGAAAATGAGCCGCAGACGTGACCTCATGCGTTTTGATTTTTTTTTTTTTCGCCAAGTCACGTTCTTTGGGTGCACAAACATCTGGAGCCCACTGGGCAGAATTAGTGTTCAGATGATGCGGGTTGAAAATCCCCGGGGAGGCTTTGCTGCTTTGGCACACTGTCCTCTAAAGCTTTGACACTAAACGCCCCATCTGTAACTGTCAATGGAGGTTAGTCCCTCTCAAACAACCGAGCAGATTTATTTATTTATTTATTTTTTAACAGAGGAGGAAAAAAAATGGTCATATCTGCTAATCAGAGAGTTCACCGTGTATTTATTTGTGCTTTAACAGTTCATGCCTATCGGCTTGTGGACTGCCGTTAAAGGGCCATGCGGGTGATGCAAATCACTTCTTCAGTGTGTCTCCGAGCCGGCCGGACTCTTAAGTTCTGTGTTGATATCCGCTGCGCTGTTATGGCACTTAAATAAGCAATTTATAATTCACAGCTCTGCCGGATGTACGATCAAGATGGGAAGGCTCGAACAGAGAGCACGCACGCTTGCACGCCTGCGCATCTCGCCGCTGCATGCAACAATTAACACCCTGCACCCGACAAATGAGTTCACGGCACCTTGACCTTGATAGCCCGGCAGCCAAAACGCAACGTGAAATCAGCGCAGCGCTTACCTGATCCGCATGCTCGACAGTTCACCCGGGCAAAGCTTGCATGAGGTTAAGTGAGACGGCAGCAATGTTTGCGCCACATGTCCATGAGTGGAGAGCACAGGTGTGAAACTCAAGGCCCGGGGACCAGATGTGGCCCGCCACATCGTTTTAAATGGCCCGGCGAAAAAGCAAATCAAAGATGACAATTTCCTTGATACTTGCGATAATATGTGCCAAAATTTCACATTTTCAATATATCTGTGACATAATGTAAGCATTTTTTGTTCCCAAACCCCTCTATTACAGTTACTTAAACAATAGTTGAATGAAACGTTATTCTTCACTTCTTTATATAGTTTCAGTCATCACGACCCTCCAAGGGAAACGGTAATTCGAATGTGACAAAGAGTTTGACACGCCTGGTGTCGAGGAAAACCATTTTACATTCGTGCTGAATCACGTGTCACACAACTACCACTGCGAGAATTATAAACTGAGGATATTATTATACCGTATTTTCCGTACGATAAGGCGCACCTAAAATCATTCCATTTTCTCCAAAAAGTGCACCTTGTAATCCGATACGCCCGATATGTCGATCAATCTTTTGATTTCCTGGACGAATTTAAATGTTTCTGTAAAGCGCTTTGTCGCAGCTGCAGCGGTTGTGAAAGTTCGGTATGAATAAACCTGCATTGTATTGTACAGTATTCCCTTTAGCGTAGCTCCATCTAGTGGATACATAACGCAACCGCAGCCACTATTGTAATTTCTATTCTATGCGCCTGAGAATGCAGTGCACACTACATATGAAAACCGTTTTAAAGGCCATTCATTAAAGGTGCGGCTTATACTCCCAAGTACCTTATAGTGCGGAAAACACGGTGTGTGTATATTATATATTATTATTATTTTTAAGATATACTGTACATGAAAAGAAGTGCTTCCCGGTGAGCGTAGTCATAGGAACTTAAGCGCACAACACACACACGCACTGGCAAGAGGTTAAATCGACATTCGGCTTCCATGCAGACTGATCAAGCTCTTGTTCTCATAATCATAAAAAATAAAATAAAATAAAAAAAGAGCATACACACAAGAGTTCACCTGGAGGATCATGTCACGTATGAACACACAATACCTGGGGCAAAACACCTTGTAAATCGAGCTATCCATCCATCCATCCAACTTTTGCTTTTCTCTTCATGCGGCAAATATCACAAGGGCCTCATCGTTTCGATTTCCAACGTATTCAGCATGGTTGAAACACGTTCAAGGGAATATTTGAGCCTGATGATGATTCTGATCATTTGAATCAGGGAAATATCAAAATCGCACCGAATTTTTTTCATCCTTTGGAGCCGATAATCGCGGCGGCATAGAAATAATTTTCACTGAAACTACAACTTCAATTATTCAAAAATTTTTTTTTTTTGAAACACACGTCACCAACTTGGAAATCTGAGATAAGGTGCACTCCCCCCAAGATGATCTTACCTCTTCTCTGTCCCGGAGGGGTGTTCCAATGGCAAGGGTTGGACGATCGCATCAGAACCTGCAAAACAATCACGGTACTGTTGAAAAAAAATACCACCGCTTTATAAAGGCAAACAGACATGAAATAATTAAATAGCACAAAACAAATCAAACATTTTTTTCTTTAATTCTTTTTTTGCTACAATTGTGCCTTGGCCGCCTGGGAGCAGTATCCCACAGGAAAAAAAACAAAACAAAAACATTCAGAAGGTTACTCATTGAGCCAAAGTCATTTGTCACAGAGGATAAAGAATATACGCCTGTGAGCATCGTTTTATCCTCCACGGTGTGAGCTCATCACTTTGTTTTTCATATTTTCACCGCAACGCCGATGACACTCGCGCGCCCATTTATGGCGTTTTTGCATTCAAATTCTTCGAAAGAGACGATCAAGGGGAGGCTAAATAGACGCATGAGTGACTCCGCCGTGATGGCATGCGCATGAAATGTCAACAAAAAATATTGCCGTGGAATCTAGCATCAAATTCATTCATCGCAGACTTGCCAGCGATAAATGCAACGAGGAAATGTCTGCGCAAACGGTCGACCAAAGAGCTGCGTCGACAAAACTGGTCATCCAACGAAAACCAAGATTTATTTCAACACTTCAGATGATGATAATGATGTTGACAAAACATTCCGCCTAATCTTTTCCCTCCATCTCTTTGGTCCTAAGACAAACCAAAACATCCTCCTCCGCAAGCTTGATGATAAAAAAAAAATGATGATGAGAACTTGACATTAGAATACAAGCATGTGGTTAAAGCTGACACCGAGGAGAGAGAGGAAAAAAAAAATTAAAAAAAAACTCATCAAGCCTTGGCCTGCCTCGGAACATTTGCTTTGCACCTTAGCGACAACGCCAGAGGGCGGCGGGGAAAACAAATAAACAAACAAACAGAAACGTGATTTGTCGGGAATGCGAAACATAAACATGAAAAAACGAAAACGTCTTCCTTCCTTCTTTCTTTTCCTTTTTTTTTTTTTGGATCCACTTTGTACGACTTCTGTTGGTCATCTGACTTGAGCCCGCTTTCCTGCGATTTGCATGTCGGATTCGCTTCATTCACAAGACATCTGCAAAATCGACTTGGGGGGGGGAATAATACAATAAAAGAAGAATAAAAATCTCATAAAGCACTGTGGTGCGGCGAGACCAAAGTACCCTCCCCCAAAAAAAAACAGCATTCCAGATTCGCCGTGTTTTTATTCCGACCTCAGAACCATCTGAATGTCACATGAAAAATAAATTGTCCTCGAGCAAGTCTCACAAACACTTGATGACTTCCTTTGTCAACACGTTTCCTGCTGTTTACGACTTCAGGACCACTTCGGACGCCGCATTTTTTTTTTTTTTTTTGGTGGGGACGCGGTTGCCGATGACGGCCGCCGTGACATTGAATGACTCGACCTTAAAATGACTCCGGCGTCGGAATTCTTTGGGATGTACACGAGCTTGTTGTGAGGATGCTAGTTCTGTCGTCGCCATGGCGACCCCAGACAGCTTTTGTCGGTCGTGTGTTTTCGGCTTCAACGCCAAATAAAGTTGACGCTGTTGCATATCAAAGCCTGCCAACTACCACCAAGTTGACGCCGAACGCAACTTTGCAAAACTCTGCCCTCTTGTGAATGCGAGGAATTCTCAATTCGACGCCCCCGAGGCGACAGATGCTTCCTCTTGTTCCAACCTGCCACTGGGAGTAATTTACAGTATGTACACAATGCATTTACTCTGCACGGAACACAACATGACCAGAATCAGGAAGCACGACTTTGGATAATAATATATGTATCTCCTTCACTGGGAGAAAAACTTTTTTTTTTTTTTTTTGGTGGGGGGGTGGGGTATGGACAGAATGGGCAATCATTAGGATGTTCGTTTCAACAAAATTCTAAAACATATATGGCAAGCAAGCTATAATTTTTGGTCGGAATGTGCCTGTTGAAATACAGTTGCGGGTGCGGGGGAAGCCTGCCAAAGTGCTGTACATGTTGCAAATATATAGAAAACAATAAAAAATTAATAAACCCCCCCCAAAAAAACAGTAATACTAAAAATCAAGTCTGAGTCATGAACAAAAGACAGTAGAAAGCAAAATAAACAACACAAAAAACAAAAACAGTAATACTAAAAATCAAGTCTGAGTCATGCTGAGTCAAAAGCCAAAGAATACAAATGAGTTTTGAGCCTCCGCTTAGTTCATCTAAAAATGTCTGGTCCGCAGACCTGAGACACCGGACGGATGAGCTCAGAGAGGTAAGGTGGAGCGAGGCCATTAGTACATCTAAAAATGTCTGGTCCGCAGATCTGAGGCACCGGACGGTTGTGTCGGGGCGGAGGACCTCAGAGAGGCAAGGTGGAGCGAGGCCATTTAAAGATTTGAAAACAAATAGGATCTTGAAAGGAACTCTAAAATATATAGGATGCCAGAGTTATGTGCTCCCTCTTACGAGTACCAGTCAAAAGATGAGCTGCAGTATTCTGGACCAACTGGACACGCTTAATGGAGGATTGGCTGACTCCAAAGTAAAGCGCATGACAGTCATCCAGCCGGGATGTGACAAAGCCACGAATGACTGTTTCAAAGATTCTTTCTAAGATGAAAGAAGCTGGATTGAACAACGGCACCAATTTGCCGGTCCGATTTAAAACCACTGTCCAGTTTAAGACCCAAGACAAACATCCAGGAGGTCTGGCAGATTTCAGTCTCAAAAATCCTCTGCCTTTGTCTTTGCAGATCTTACAGGTGAATCTAGTGATGTCCATCCTGCTCTATGTGATGGTCCTCGTGTACCTCTATGGTATCCAGGCAACGGACATGGACAACAGTCGCCAGGGGCAACACCAGCAGCAGCAGTCGCCGCCGCCGCCGCCCAGTCCGGACCCTTTAAACTCGCTCATCATCCAGCTTCTCCAGGCCGACCTGACCAGGGGGAAGAACCGGGCCAACCAGAGCCAGCAGGGGAAAAGCAGGCGCTCGGAGCACCAGGACGCACCGCCGCCTCTCCTCGGCGACGCCGAGCGGTGGGGGGAGGCGGGCCGGAGCGGCGAGAGCAGCGCCAGCGCGGAGCAGGGCCGGGTGATGATGTTGTTGAACTCTGACCTACTGAGGCAGCACAAGCGGTTCAATTCGCCCCGGGTGCTGCTGAGCGACCGGGCGCCGCTACAGCCGCCGCCGCTGTACATGGCCGATGACTTTGTGAGCGGCGGGCCGGAAGGCGAAACGTCCGCAAACAAGACCCGGAAGAAGCGCTACACTGAACACAAGAGTTATCGCGGGGAATACTCGGTGTGCGACAGCGAGAGCCAGTGGGTGACTGATAAAACTCAGGCGGTGGACACGAGGGGGACCCCGGTGACCGTCCTGGACAAAATTAAAACCAGCGCGGCGCAGGATATCAAGCAATACTTTTACGAGACGCGCTGTCGGACCCCGAGGCCCTTTAAGGGAGGCTGCAGGGGCATCGACGACAAGAACTGGAACTCGCAATGTAAGACCACGCAGACTTACGTGCGGGCGCTGACGCAGGTGCGCAACTCAGTCGGCTGGCGGTGGATACGCATCGACACTTCCTGCGTTTGCGCCCTGTCCAGGAAACGTCACCGGACGTAAACGTGCCGCCTGGAATTCGACAGGACGTTCCATTTACGGCTCGGGTGCTCTCCCGCCGCGTGATTCTGCACGTGGGCGGCGATAGCAAAGGATTTCTGCTGAAGAAAACCTGGTTCCAGAATTTCCACGCCAGCAATCCACAAACCGGTGCGGCGTTGCTGTTTTGGAGGAACTCGTCCGAGTCAGGGTGTGAAGGGGAACTGTACATATAAATTATTTAAATTATATGAAATGCATGTGGTTTATACATGTCTATATATATGTGTGTGTGTGCGTGTGTGAGAGAGAATATATTTGTGTTATTTATTGAAAGAAGTCTGCTTCTGACGAGTGAGCGACAGTGGACTTGTGTTGCGAATACAAGGCTGAACGGGGCCGCAAAGGTGCTTCACACTGAGACTTATTATGTGCCTTCACCAGTGTGGTTGCCAAGCAAAGTGGGACACACATACACACACGGACACACACGGACACAAAAGAATTTTCAACTGATTTTCCATAAAGCTGCAAATGATCAGCAATAAATGGCTTAAGGATTTGATTGGGCACGCAGACTATCTGAGGAAAAATTGGCCAAACCGCGTCTTCAAACAGCTCATTGTGTGAAGCTTTGGACAAACTCAATCCAGAAATCGCTGTCAGTGAATGAAGTGATTTAAAAAAAAAACAACTGATATCACAAGCAATATGTTATTTTTGTTTTAATAAAACCATGGAGAAAAAAAAAAACAAATGTTTGGAAATATTCCATGAACGAAAGACAACAGACCTGTTTTCGTTTACCACAGAATGGCGTGAGCATGTACTGCAATTGAATTTCTTCACCGGCAGGTTCTTGGAAAATGTATTTTATATATATATATATATATATATATGTATATATATATATATATATATATATATATTTCTATAATAATAACTATATAATAACTATGTAATAACTATAATAATAAAAGCGAGAATAATAATCTGAAGAAGAAAGTTTGATACAAGAATTCAGTCGATTTCTTCGATCCCTACAAATCTTTTGTGGCCGTTATTCTAATTATTATGACAGAGGTGTCCGAAGTCATACAAGGCCGCGGCAAAAACTCGCCATCTCTAATAACCGGGGGTCTTACCAAGGGGGCAAAGCTGCCTTAAGGAGATGTGCAGCCACGCCGAGCTGGGATTTAAAGCCGTAATCTTCCATTCTAAGAGGATCTTATCATTTGCCAGGCTTAAGAGAGGAGATCAGCAACGCCTTGGACGTACTGACAAAATGCCCGCGTGAAGTTCAAGTCGCCTTATAAAGACCGCAGAATGCGCCTTGGTCTTGTTTTGACTCTCTGGATAGGAAAAAAAAATACAACGAACAAGAAATGAAAACGATATTAAGTTAAAGGTTGAGTTGTTGTAAGCCGAAATGGCCAGAATTTTTTAGACGGTCATGAAACAGCGATTGGGTTTTCGTAGCCTGCAAGGTGGACCGATGGTGGATGTGAGGCCACACGTCGCGCATCATCGCTGACTGTGTTTGGTAAAAATTGCGTCAAATGTGGATGGTTTAAAAAAAAAAAAAGTAATAATAATCATAATAATAACATAAAAATAAAGCACACTCAATGTAGTACACGTAGCATTTTTTCTTCGCAATCATACTCAAGCGAAAGAAAAAAAATATGGTGCATTATAAACTCGGGCATGACCGAAAGTGATTTTTTTTTTTTTTTACGGCCGATGTTTACATGCTTTCGCTTGGAGTTCTCACAATCATAAATAATTGAAATCTGCTCCTAATCCCACGAGCCATTGTTTCGTTCCCGTGGCCTTTTATTAAAAAATGTGTCATTATTGTGGCCGCGCATTTCGACATGTCAAAGTGATTACCGCGTCCTCTCTGCCGTTCCATTTTATTGCACCGCGGAGCAACTTTTTGGGGCGCCGTGGCTATACTTTGTCAGAAGCCACCAAGCGTGCCTCTTTCAAGCATGGCGTTAAACCGTGCGGCTCGATTACAAGCGAGGCTGGGGAGGCCCAACCACCCGTCCGTCAATTTCCATCCCCATTTTGAGGCGCGACCGAACATGCTTTCGCAAATTGGGTGTTCTCCGAACCTATTAAAATAAACCCGCACGTAGCCAAATAAACCCTTGCAACCAGATGAAGCAGAGCCTCGGTGTGACTTAATGTCCTTGCGTCCTGGACGAGCAGGAAATGATGACACGAGTCTTTCGACGAAGGAGAGCTGCACTCTGACAGACGGGAGTGCGAAAAGGTCTGACGAAGGTTTTGGCTTTCGAGTGTTGGAAGGAGTTTGTGTATCTTGGACAAGAGCAGCATGTGTGGTTCACAAAGTCTCCCCCCCCCCCGCCGAGTTGGATCTAGCTTTTGAGAAATTCAATTTTTTTTTTTTTGGTGCTCAAAAAATATGCAAATTCTGACATTGGAATTCTCTTGACACAACAACTTCGACGAGGCTGTAGTTGTCTTTTTGCAGATGTGAATATGCAAATCAACGTCAACCCACAGGCCGTTTGAGCACGACTGGGCTTGTTTTTATATGAGAGCATTACAATATCTTTGGCACTTGGACGGGAAAAACAAATGGTGGCCAGTGTGAGCACAACCTTATGAAGTAGTGTGTTGATGTTGTTTTTAAGTACCGTATTTTCCGCACTATAAGGCGCTTCGGAGTATAAGGCGCACCTTCAATGAATGGCCTATTTTAAATTTGTTTTCATATATCAGGTGCGCCGCATTATAAGGCGCATCGAATAGAAGCGACAATAGTGGCTGCGGTTGCGTTATGCATCCACTAGATGCAGCGACGCTAAAGGGAATACAATACAATACAGCTTTATTTATATAGAGCATTCACAACCATCGCAGATGTAAGAAAAAGCGCTTGACGGAACATTTCAAAATACTCCGTCCAAGAAATCTGAATATCGATCCATATATAAGGCGCATCGGATTATAAGGCACCCGGAGAAAATTTAATGCTTTTAGGTGTGGGCCTTATTGTGCGGAAAATACGGGATTAAATGCAAACCATGTGATTGGAATTTGGTGAAGATTAGGCTATTTTCTTGTTTGACGTCTTGTGTTTTTATTGACACTGAAGTATTTTTGTCACATGTAGCCAAATAAGATGGAGGGATGGGGAGGGGGGGCAAAGTGCCAGAAGAAAAATCAAAACTGAATGCAGGTAAAAGACTGCTGGAAGGCCACATCCAACTTTTCGTGTCTTAAAATTTCTCTCCGTGAATTGTCTCGTCCGATCCCCTTTGTTGGAAGACTTTCCCTGTGCGTGAGAACACGGTCGAACCCGCGTCGGCTCTCCTCTCGCATACTTGAGACTTTTGGCGGATTACGACGCGCCGCGGAAGGCCATTCAGACATTCCACATATCAGCTTTGAAGGAGCCTCGGAATACCATCTTTTTCAACTCCTTTGCCGTTTCAGAATCAAAGTCCTAATATGGTCAAACCACCAGTGTCTTTTTTTTTTTTTTTTTTTAGCCAAAAATAGGCAGTTTCACATCACGGTTGGGATGTATGCTGGCCTCCAAGTCAAATGTTAAAAGGGGGTTGGGGGGTGGGGGGGTTGGAGAGTTCAGGCCAAGGATACAATTGGAATGACATTGACGTTTTTTTCTGAAAAGTGTGCGCGCGCCGCGGGATTTAGGTCTCAAAGGTCTTGAACGGCGACCATTGTAAAAGGCTCGCTAGTTTCAGGGGTCAGGGGTGTGGGGGGTTGTCGGGGGTGCACTTACTATTGACGTGGGCCGCAGTGGAGTGAAGCTGGCCCACGTTTTAATTAGGTGACAAAGGAAGGCCTGTGCGGTCGGCGGAGGGCGAGACCGTCCTGGTGCGTGCAAAAAAACACGGAGGGGGGGGGGGCAGAAAAAAAAGAAAAGAGCGGGAGGGGGGGGGGGGGGCAGAAAAGAGAAGGTGCTGTTCCGCAAAGATGGCTTGCAGATGTGAGCGCGTCGTGAACATCTGGAGCCGGATGCGACCACCCACTGGGTCTCTCAACGTATGTGGGAGACTCAGAACAACCAAAAAAAAAAAACAAAAACAATTGTGCAAAATTGCAGCTGCTATGACGGGATGCCAATTTGAAGTTGTTTAAGAGCAGGACAACAAAGCCGGATGTGTGGCGAGCCGAGTTTGAACGGCGCGACGAGATAGATGGTCACGGTGAATTTGGAAGGAGAGCTGCGAGCGGTTTTCAAAATAAAATCAAAACTCTTCCGCAGTACATGGAAAATCAGAGTACAGTTTTGTTTTTTTTCATTTCTTTACTTCGGCAACTGACACCTAACCCTGCAAATGTGCAATTCCCCACAGGAGGAAGAAAAAAAACAAAACAAAAAAAAAAAAAAACATGCCCATTTGATTCAACAAACGATTTCAAATGACAAGGAAATTTCTGAAAACGGCCGCAACCTTTTTTGGAGCAGAGCGCCGACTTGATGTTTTTTGTTGCGTCTACGAGCGTTGGCCGCGGGGAATACCGCGACGGTCTGTTTGTGTTTTTAACGAGGGTCTTCACGTCGTATTTTATGTTGATGAGATTTTTCATCCGCTGGTGACATTTCATTTGTATGAGCCTACCATTTTTTTTTTTTTTTAAAGAGCACAAGGGTGTACGCCGGCCCCTGTAATCACAGCACAACTGTTCCCATAACTCTGTGACATCATATTATTTTAGTCCGTGCCGAAGTGGAGTCATAACCCGAGCCTCGCTTGAAATAATGCCTTATCGGAGTTTCTCACAACTCGGGCAACCCCCGTTTTGGACATGTTTACCCTTTCGACGAAACAAAACGTAAATTCCGTCTTTCAAGAGTAATGATTTGGTTCCTCGCGAGGTTTTCTTTAATAGGATGTCCGCCGTTGCCAGCTGGAAATGTCCGTCTTGTTTATAACTTGATGAGTCATGGGGAGAATATAGCACAGCGGTAGCGGTACTTACGAAATGAATTGGTTCTGGAAGAAATTTCTGAACATTTTGTAGGTAGGGACGCGTTTTCCATGTAAATGACCAAATTCGTTCCAAGCCCCCCCCAAAATTCAGACATAAATGTTTTCTAAAGTATAAAAATGCATCAAAATATGGAACAAATACATGTTACGATTGGATTATTGCACAATAAATGAGTCGTGCAAAATGTAAAACAAAACAAAACAACGAATAGAGTAAAGAATAAAAAGGATGGTCATTTAACTCTCTCAGACGTGTTTTTTTTTTTAGCCTGGCGTTTTGTAAAGAACGGATCCAAGGACGTTTGCGCGTTGAATTTTTCAACGGCTAAAACAATATGAAGTCAAGTGGGCAGGACGCTGACTATGACAGAGAGCGATTTGCTGACCTCAAGCAGCCTCGGAGATGTTTTGAAGCAACCCATGAGAGTCTACTGAACTTCACATTGCGTTATTTATTTATTACGCTGTCAAATAATGTCAAGTGGCTCACTTATTATCCGCTGTCAACCGAAATAAAATGCAAAGACGCTTTTATAGAGAGAAAAAAAAAAGGATGGTCATTTTTTTTTCGCTTCAAGCTAAACCGACGTCGCTCTTCATTTCGAGTCTTTGCAGAGTTGGATGAACGCGGGTATTCCGTTTGCGAACCGTTTTCATGATCCCGTCTCATTTCGTGCAGGAGAAGCACTCAGAGGTT